CAGAGTTCATCGTTGACAGTTTATCTTAGAGGAGTAGTTGCCAAATAGAAGTCTGTGGAAAGTTATTACCCTTCTCTGTGATAGATTTAAAATCAAGTCCTTGGACGGGCGCCTGGGTGGCTCAGTCAGTTGAGCATCCAACTCTTGATTTCTGCTCAGGTCATGATCTTGGGGTCCCTGGGATGGAGTGAGCCCTGCCTCTGGCTCCCTCGGCAAGGAGTCTGCTTCTCTCTCTCTTCCCTCTTCCTGGTTGCACTCTCTCTCTTAAATAAAAAAATAAATCTTTAAAAAAGTAAAATAGAAGAAATCTTGGAATAAAAATAAAGTAGTAAAAATAAGGTAAATTTTTCTACAATATAAATTAATTCATATCTAAGAACTATCTTTTGTGTGTGTTTTCTTCCTCCTCTTTTTATTACTTTAATAAAATGCCTCCTTTTTTGTATGAAATGATATGATAGTCAATATTACTTGTTTCTGTTATTTTTATAATGAAACAAAAAGTGACCAACTTTTATTTTAGCTCCTATTTTGCTTTGGAAATATTTTTGGTTTATGAAATTTAGGAAGCACTAAAATGTGGGATCCAAAACTTTGGACTTTAATGAACTTTCCAATATTTACAAATATCTGGATGTAATCATCATTTAGTCAAAATATTTGACTTCATATAGATCCAGCTTTAACTTCTTTAAATGGGATCTTTGACTCTTCTATGAAAGGACAAAGTTCAAGTCATGGAAAAAGGGTGTAAGTCTAAAGTCATGAATGAATACAGACAATTAATTTGAATCCAGAAACTGGTAGGGTCCTATTACCATTCACGCTATACAATTTAGCAGAAGGGTAAGAAAAAGGAGAAAGAGAGAGAGAGAGAATGAGAAATGGAAGTCAGAAATATGAAAAACAGTGTGACTATTGTTTGGATTTGAAGGTCAGGCAGTTCTTCATCCTACTATAAAAATGTCTAACTCTGGGCGGTCTTGCATTCTAGAAATTTATTGATTTTATTGCCTTTTGAGAATCTGACCCGGTTTTTGTAATATAATCATCTGTAGAAATCTATTTTTATCCTAAAGATAATCAGTCTGTAGGAACATTTCAGCCTTATTATGTAGAGATAAGTAGTCATGTATGATTTTGATACAAATTCTCCCATCTTTTTTCTTTTTATGTATTAAAATAAACATTTAGGAAGAGCATCAGTTCATAAAATAATTTTTCAAATTCTTGAATAATGTACTGATACTGCATTAAAACACTTTTTTTTTCTTCAACGGTGGCTAATTAGAGACTATGATAAATTCAGAAAAAAGATCTGAAAATTTATAAATAAATAGAATGAGAATTAGAATTGACTCATTAGGGAAGATCATGGTTCTTTTTCCCTAATTAGTTGGTGGGATACCTTCTTTTCTCAGTTGTAAAGAAATATAAAATCCCTGGTAGGGAGGTACCATGAGGGTCTCAAAAAGACTCTTTTCTCAGTTATAAAGAGATAAAATTCCTCGTAGGTAGAAATTGGATTTAAAAGGAATAATTAAGCAAAATCAAGTATATTTGAAAGTGATGGAAAACACAGCTGCTAACCCATACTCCAGGAAAATACTGCCTTTTTGTTTAATGAAATAATCTGGTAGTAACTTTTTTTTTAAGGTGTTGTTTGTTTCCATTGTGATGTCATACATAAACCACTGCAGACTTCTCTAAGTTGTCTGTATCGAGGAACCAGTGATTCTCACCGCACAATTTACAAAATTTAACCTGTAATTTATTTTTCAATTGGGTGAATATTTTCATTGTTTGGAATTACAATATAGATATGCATTACATTTATTATTTAAAATTTAGGTTACAGGGGCACCTGGGTGGCTCAGTGGGTTAAGCCTCTGCCTTCAGCTTAGGTCATGCTCTCAGGATCCTAGGATCAAGCCCCACATTGGGCTCTCTGCTCAGCAGGGAGTCTGCTTCCCCCTCTCTTTTTGCCTGCCTCTCTGCCTACTTGTGATCTCTCTGTGTAATAAATAAATAAAATCTTTAAAAAAATTAAAAATAATAAAATTTAGGTTACAGAAGTTGGCAAACAAAAAATATTTCACTGTTCTTAAAATGGCATTTATATTTAATATTAAGGTAAACCAAAGAACATATTGCTCTTCTTATTTATCCCTTCACCAGGCAAAATTGTAGTGTTAACAAGTTAGCATATTTGGTAGAAAAGTAATTTTTCAGTATGCTCCATCTGGACCTTAATTTCCTACTTCTAGTCAAGAATGTTGAACATATTAATGTTTTACCAATACTTATTCACACAGGTGATTGTGTGCTTAACTATGTAAACAATTGTTCTAGGTATTTTACATGAATTATCTAACTTCACCTTCATAATAACTCTTAGAAGATGTATTATTAAACCCCCTTTTCCAAAAACTGAGGCCCAGGTAGCATAAGGAGTTCATCCTACTTTGCATAGCTAGTAAGTACCGTGTTCTGACCTATACCTGGGTGACTCCATGTTCTGTAGATATAGTAGTTGTCTTCCTGTAACTACTTCCACTGGATGCTTAGAGTTCCCTTATGTAACTTCTATGTGTTTCCAATTAAAATCCACCTTTGTGTCTTTTAAGGAATCCTCCTGTTGCTTAATATTTATATAAATGTATTGGTTTAGACCCAGCTGACTTTTTTTTCAGTTTAACTCCCTATGTATTTGATTTCTCTTGTATTAGAGTAGAATTATTATAGATTTTAGAATTGGAAGGAGTGTTGAAGGGTATCTTCTCTATTTGATAATTAGTATCTTTTTTAACAGCTATTCAGTCAGTCAGTGAACATATCCAGTAACGTATCCACTGCTTCTCATAGTGGTCCTTTCTGTCCTCACACAGCTCAGGGTACATGAAATTTCAGTCTTATATTGATCTCTGTAGCATTGATTATTTGCAATTATTGGGACACTGGCAAGGAGCTGAGATTTAAATTCAGATATCATGTAGTGAATTCTGTTTTTTCTCTTTGAAGACTAATTAGCTCTCATTTATTTCAGATATAACTCGTGAATGAAATTCTCTCTCCATCTCTCCTTCCTTCCTTCCTCCTTTTTCCTTCCTTCCTTCCTTTCTTCCTTTTTTTTTTTTTGTGGGGTGTGGGGAAGGATAAGGCTAGTCCAATATTTTACTGTTTTTCATGAGTGAATTAGAAAATCATCTTTTAATAATTTGTTAATTCTTGTATTTTTATGTATTAGGTGGATGGATAGATAAATCAATAGATAGAAATGGACATTCAATTTAATATTTACTGACTGGTAACAAGGAAAAGAAATCATGTGAGTTGTGAAAAGTGAGCTATTAATTCTGTATTTCCTGATGTGGGGAATGTTAATTCTGGCAAATAAGTCATTTATATGAATGATTGACAGTGTGATAGAAGCAATCAGTAATTTAAGCAAACATTATAAAGAAATTATTTCTATGAGAATTTCTTGGAGCATGCATTTGAACTAGCTCTTAAGAATCGATACTTTTTGTTAAGGTGTTGTATCATTGTAGATGTCAGAAACAATGGAAGCAAAGGCTAAAAAGTGGCAAATGCAGAGCACGTTTTCCTATAGGATGCAAGACATGAGGGAGGAATATTGGGTTAGGGTCTAAATTCAAATGGTAGTGGCCTGGCTAAGTTAAGGAGTTTGAACTTTATCTTCCACTGTAATAGCATTTTTGATAATATGGAGAAGGCAGTAGGAGAAATCAATAAAGAAGGGAAATTTGTCAAAGGGTTAATGACCTGGGGTCAGGGCTGGGACAGAGGAAGGGTCTGCATTGCTGCTTCCTGTCCTTGGAAAACACATTCTACATTTTGTGGATGTTGATGAAAGGGTTCTACTATTTGTGCACTGGAAAAATCTGAATCATTGATTCAGGGCACAGTTTTGGAGAATCCTCAAATTTCTATCCCATGGAAGGGAGTTTGTGGTGGCATATATACATAATTTTTTTTGAAGCCAATATTTAAAGAAAACCTCTTTGGTGATTCTCAACAACTGCCTTTCTAAAGCAAAAGTGGACTTACAATTAACATTATTATTATTTTTTAAAAAATCTTTTTCTCACTTATGTATAGGTCTGAAAATTCAGCATTTGCCCCTTTATAGCTAAAACAAATAAAAGAATGATAATAAACTGAAAAATTTGAAGTCAGATAGTAAAATTCATATAACTTATGTTTTCATAAAAACCTAACTTGGTTTCTCTATATATGTCAGTAACAAAATATTACAAAAGACTTAGGTGGTAGAATTAATGATTTCATGGTCAAAAAGACATGTAAAAATTCGTCACTGATAGGAAGCCCTACGGGTGCCTAGGTGACTCAGTTAAGCATCTCTTCTGCTCAGGTCATGATTCCAGGGTCCTGGGATTGAGCCCCACATTGGGCTCCCTGCTTAGCAGGGAGTCTGGCTTCTCCCTCTCTCTCTACCTCTCACCCTGCTCATGCTCTCTGTATATATATCTCAAATGAATTTAAAAAAAAAAAAAAAGGCTCAAACAACTAGGAGTTTAAAATGTTTCCCACACACTACCTCTGCTCTTTTGGCCCCTATGCTTATCCTTCTAGATAGCGACTTGGAACAGATGAAACCCCTTAAAAAAGTCTTTGTAACATTAAAGACATTTTATATACAATGCTGAGCATTTCTTTCTATCATTGCACGCAGAGAGATTCCATTAGATTAGTTGCATGATGAGGTATTTCTGTCCCTTTCTTTTGAAGAGTGTGTGGTCTTGAGTATGAAATCAGCAAACTAATGGGTGTGATTTCCATTTCAATGAAGTGTTAAAAAAAAAAAAAAGGCTCCTGTATATTTCTTAGTACCATCAATAAGAACAACCACTTATTGGTAACTACAGCAGGCAGTAGTTAGATTGCCATGTACCAATAGCCCATGCTCATGTAGGACCTCACATTAACACCCAATGTCTTGCTTTGTTACCTTGCAGAAATGTTGGAATCCAACAATGTGATCACTTTCAATGGCTTGGCCAACAGCTCCAGTTATCATACCTTCCTTTTGGATGAGGAACGGAGTAGGCTGTATGTTGGAGCAAAGGATCACATATTTTCATTCAACCTGGTTAATATCAAGGATTTTCAAAAGGTATCTTTATTCTAATATATACACTGTAGTTCTTTTAAAACATCTCAACCTATTTAACAGTTAATTCTCTAGCTATTTAACAGTGTGACAACTGGAAAAATTGTTAAAATTATTATTTTATCTTTTCAGATGCAAGTAAAAGTAATGCACTGATTTGTTTATCACAAATCAATGGATGCAGTAAACCATAAAAATCATCAAGGAAGAAACTGTAGTATTTTCAATGACCATTATAACTTCAGCTTGTCCTTCCATATTTATATAATTTTTGCTGCATAAAACTAAATATCTGAATCATTATAGACATATATCATAATTAATGTCATGTGTGAAATGATGTATATATATATATGTATAAATTTATACATCTCTTGGGGAGGGGGGTGCCTGGGTTGCTCAGTGGGTTAACCTCTGCCTTTGGCTCAGGTCATGATCTCAGGATCCTGGGATCAAGCCCTGCATGGGGCTCTCTGCCACTGGGGAGCCTGGTTCCCCCTCTCTGCCTGCCTCTCTGTCTGCTTGTGATCTCTCTCTTTCTGTCAAATAAAATAAAATAAAAATATTTAAGAAAAAATTATTTAAACATTTCTCTGTAGTACCAACAAATGCGGAGTTCACCAGTCATCATACACATGCCTAATCTGGTGTGTCACCTGTTTTTGTAAAATGTTTTTTGGAACAGAGACACTGTCAGTCATTTACATATTGTCTATGTTTGCTTTCATTCAACAATGGCAGAATTGAATAGTTCTGATAGAGATCATCTGGCTCACAGAGCCTAAAATATTTACTATCTGGCCTTTTACACACACAGTTTGCCAACCCCTCATCTAGAAGATCAGTTTTCCATGTGAAGTTTTTACAAATGTGGTCATTTAGACACTAGAAGTCTATTGGCTTTATCCTTATTCTTTATAGTGTTTCTGGCTTATTAATAACTTATATACAGTTCAGAAAATAAAAATGGATTGAAAAATTAGTGGAAATTATGCTACTGAGTCCATATGCTATGTTCAAAGTCAGTCATTTTTTCACAGTTAGTATTTCTAGTCATAATTCTCTGAGGGACAAAGATCTTTTATGCAGTAGCTCTTGTAAGAGTGCTAGTATAACATTTTTTTAAGAGTACATTCACGTCAGTTTTTATGTATGTTAGTTTTGCTTCTTAACATTTAGGGCTTTAGGGTGGTGTTCCTTAACTTCTGATAAACTTTAACAGATTGGACAATAAATTTTTAAAAGTAACTGAATTCTATAAAAAGCTTTTGTTCTGGTTGGAGAATATTGCTTTAAGGATCAAATGAAGATGAAATTCAAAACTGATTGTTATCTCTAATAGATTATACCACTAAACCTAAGGCTTTTACTTTCTTATTAAACACTAAAATTCTGACTGTGCATAAAGATTTAAGTCATTATATATATATCATATAAAATAGCAATGCCCCTTACTGATATACTTTGGGATTAATATATGGCATTTAAAAATCACCTTTGATATTCCTTTTTCTGATTTTTCAATCTACTTGATTTCTAAGTCTTCTCAGATCTTAGCAATATTGCTAAGGTTTTCTGTTACCTAAGAAAACTGGTTATCCATTTAATTTTCCTTAAATGACAAAAGTATTTACCTTGGAGTCCTTTGTAAACATCATAAAATAAGCAGGTTTTGTTGTTTAGTGAAAAGAAGTCATCCTTTTTATGTAATGAATGAAAATTCTAAGAAGATTAAGAAAAATTTTATATCTTAATAATTATATCAGTTCAGATTTCAGTGTTTATAACACTTTTATCATTTTATAAAATTCATATATGTGAATAAAAATAAATGTGCATGTATCTATAGATAATATGTGAGTACTTTATACCTTGGAATATATATTTAATCTTTACCATTCTTCTCTAAATAATAAAATAATAAAGATTTTTAATTTAAATAGTATGTTCTAGAATTGAAAAGACCTAATTTTCATAGGAGACAACCTACTGTTTTATAGATGAGGAAAATCCCAGAGCCATTTGTATGTCTGAGATATAACCACAGTATCTTCTACCAACTAGACTTGTAATAAATATATACTGAAGTAGTGAATTAATTAAAATTAGGTGACTTGCCCAATGTCATAGTATTGTTATAGCTCCTGCTCTTAAGGTTAAAATCATTATTCTAATGGGAGACGTATTTCTAATTATAAAGCATCTCATTCCAAACATATTATTTAATTATATCACACTGTCTGTAGGGCAAATGCAGTTTACTTAAGAATTCACATATATTTGTCTATTAATATTCTTCTTAACCTATGTATAATGTTATTCAACATTTTCTGAAGCTTCTCCTCTTGTGATAAACTTTATAGGGGTCACTTTAGGATATCATAAATAATTCTTGAGGGACTTGTAATATTAAAGATAAGATAATGAACATGTAAGTGCATAGTAGACCAATCCTTGTTAGAGACAACATATTCTCAGATTGGGAAGGACCATGAAAAGATTCTAGGCCTTGATAAAAGGGTGCTATTTCTTTAAGGCATAAATGCTTCCTTACTAAATAATGACTAAGAGGGGCTGCCATGAATAGAAGCATAGAGGCATGAGGAAAGGAAAGTGTAATATAGATCATGAAGCCCTTTCAATATGAGAATAAGAAAGTTTGTCATTGTTAGTTAACTGAGAAATTTTTGAGCAAAGAAGACAAAATATCAACAGGTTAACAAATGTAACTGAAAAGTTAGGAATTATTCTTTGTGGAAATTATTACTGTTAGAAATGACAAATACATATATTTTATATAAAATAAATATATATATTTATTCCACTGACTTACAGTTATTCTCATTAAATTGCTTTCCAAAGTAGAATTTTTTTTAATATATTTTTTAAAGATTTTATTTATTTATTTGACAGACAGAGATCACAAGTAGGCAGAGAGGCAGGCAGAGAGAGAGAAAGGGAAGCAGGCTCTCTGCACAGCAGAGAGCCCGATGTGGGGCTCGATCCCAGGACCCTGGGATCATAACCTGAGCCAAAGGCAGAGGCTTTAACCCACTAAGCCACCAGGCACCCCCAAAGTGGAATTTTATATGCTGAATTTGTTTTACTCATGCAGGATTTTTAAGCTTTATTTACTTATATATTTTTACTCTGGAACTCTAGAAAGTTGAGAGTTCATACTCCCTTAAGTATGAGAGAATTAATCATAAATGTTACCAAAATTATTTTCATTAACATTTGACATAAGAGAGAAATGATAAAATGAGGCCCATGCTTCTCAACACCAACAGTCAAGAGCTAAAAAACCATGAGAAAAGAACTTGACTGTTAATTAAAAATTACATGTTTTAATAATGTATAAGTTTTATGTAATGTAGCTGGCAAACTTAATATGAAAGTCCATAAATCTTAGCCCTATACTGTATTATTATTCTTGTGTCTTTAATAAAAGTTATATTTTAGCCTCTCATTGTAAACTTTAAGAATAGATCACTTGGGTTTTCCACAGCCAACGTAAAGATGGGGCTGTGGAACCTGTGGAATGAACTACCCAGCATTTGGCTGTAGGAATTCAGAAGTCAGGGTAATGTGAATTTTAAGGATATGCTTTTACCATTGTTACATTGTTTTTTATTATGTGATTACTATATAAGAACTTTGTGGAACAGGTCAAATGATATTTTTAATTTACATACAAAGATATACATGAAAGGAAAAGCACATGAAAAAGAAAAGAATACTTGAATTAAAAGCTTCAAATGATAAAAAGGAATGCATACTCAAAAATTTCTAGAGTTTTTAAAATTGTGACATGGACCTGAAATGCATTTGTTATGCCATAATAGGTTATTTCAGTATGTTCTACATTCTTGCTTATAAATTTGTTGTATTTTGTTTTTTGAGTTTCTAGATTGAATATCATAGCCCTTGTACAAGTTCATGACCATTTATAATGAATTATCAAGAGGTTCCCAAATAAATGATGATCAGTCATTTTGAGACTAAAAGCTATCTAGTAGACATAAATGATTGCCACAATGTTTGGATTTTTTTTACATACTTTTTTTTAAATTAACTCTTACCAGAAGAATACGATGAATTAATAAAAAAAAAATTAAATTGTTCTGTCCCAATACAGATAGTAATCATTTGAATTGACCTGGGGAACTGAAAAAAAATTTATATTAAAATTTAGAGGAGGGTATTTACATTAATATTATGAGGAAAATATACCCACAGTCCTCTAAACTACCAAAAAAGTCTTGTCTTAACTACCACTGTCACCGTAGTCATAGAATATAGGAACCTTTCAAATTTAGCAAAAATGTTATCAAAGGATGAATGTGAAATATTAGGGTTGAAAACACAAATGTTTTTCAGTTAGTGTAAGTTTTTCCCACAGTGGCGAAGCTTTTTGAGCTATTTGCTTCTTCATTTTCTTCTTTATCACCAGAAAGTATACAATGCTACTCTTACCCACTGTCCTGTCCAAAAAAAAATAAAAAGATTCCTTTCTAAGATGGGGTTTTCTAAACCCTCTTAGTGGCTCATTCTAGTGTGTCATGCTAAGATTTGAATTAGGGAATAGGATGCAGAGTACCCAGTGTTTAAATTTTATGATCAGGGGTGCCTGGGTGGCTCAGTGGGTTAAAGCCTCTGCCTTCCGCTCAGGTCATGATCTCAGGGTCCTGGAATCTGCTCAGCAGGGTATCTGCTTCCCCCTCTTTCTCTGCCTTCCCCTCTGCCTACTTGTGATCTCTTTCTCTCTGTTAAATTTCATGACCATTATTTCATGATAAAGACAGATTGATTTAGAAGAATGTAAGCCACATGTTATGTTTATTTCTGCTTCTCTTCCCTGGATTTTCACATCCTCCTAGTGTGCCTGATAGTTGTCTTCTCTACACTACTTAGCTCTGTTGACTACATAAATTCTGTGTTGCTCAACTTTCATATACAGCAAAGTCTGATGGGTAGACAGAGATGGAATGATTTAAGTTCATACCAATTAACTGATGCCACTGCAAAGTCTAAGCTGAAAAGTCCCTGTCGCATAATGTTTTGTGGAACTTTCTTTATCTAAGTTGCCCCAACTTGGTCTAACAGTCTGTAATGTTGGATCACTTAGAGAACTCAACGTGGCATAAAGTTGTGTTTTTCTCCGTCCTCAGATTGTGTGGCCAGTATCTTATACCAGAAGAGATGAATGCAAGTGGGCTGGCAAAGATATCCAGGTAAGTATCAGTCTACTAAATCATCTCAGTAATTGCATAAGTGATCTGTTACTCTATCATCACTTTTGTTCAGTATTATATTAAATAAACACCATACTTTACCTGTGTACTTAATCACTTTAGAAACAAAATAGTTAATTTCAGATATTGACATTATATTTAAAGAAAGTTGGTAAAAGTAATAACATGCCTAAATAAAGCAAAAATATGTTCCCTTTGAGGATTTATATATATGTAAAAGGTAATTGACAAAAGCAATTTTGCAGCATATGTACTCGTATTCAGTAAGTCACCTTCTTTGTACAAATTGGTTTTCATATGTTAATTCCTCTTGAATTCCTTTTGGATGATATGAAATTTTTTTACTTCTGAGTCACGATTAAATTACCACTCCTTTTTTTCCTATTCTTTTCTTTCTTTTCCTTTCCTTTCCTCTTCCTTCCTTCCTTCCTTTCATACACTCTGGTTTCTTAAATAAATATAGATTGAGTAATGACATAACAGGCATTGTCCTGGGTGCTATGGAAAAAAAAAGAGGAATGGTAAGCAGCTCTACAATGGTTTTACCATTGTAAAAAGATATAGGCCATTTTTCCTAAAGTAAACTTTCGTCAGTAAAATTAAGTGGGTCACTGTTTTGAGATCTAGCCAAGTATTAGCCAGCTATAGCACAGATCATAAAAAGCAGTTATAATCATTTAAATCAATAAAATAAAATGAATTACAGGATTGAAAACATAATTTGTGTTATGTTATGTCTTAGATATTTTTGGATTTCTAAAACAAGAAAAAATCTAAATGTTTTGTTTATATATTGGTATTTAGAAGAAATTTACCTTAGGTGGTTAAAAACATACATTAACTTGAATGTATATATATATATGTAGGTATGTAGATATTTTCAAGGGACACCTTGATTGATTGATAGCAGTTGCCCAAGATGATGTATATGTTTAGAATGATTTAGAGGTGGAATCTGAGTTCATGGAGAAAGAATGCCTCAATCTGGTAGCAGTGTTTGCTATAGGTAAAGGAAGGTAGTTAAAGGACCACAAAGTACAGATAACCCCCATCCTTGATTAACTATGTATTAGCAAACATGGGAAATTTCATCCTTGAAAATTTTATTTCAAATACAGTATTGATAAGTTACATTACACCTTCATAGCACAATAAACATTTTTCTAATTATGTGAAAGTGGACCCAGAAAAAGTATGTTCTATCAAATATTAAACCTTCCCAAATTGATGCATACATTAGGACTATTGGAAAGGGGTAAATAGAAAGAACAATGAAGTAGGAATCCAGAGAAGTTGGGGATTTTATGTTGATACTCCCAAGGACTTGTTAACTCTACTTATGAAGTACTTTAAGTTTTGGAATGCTTTATTATTTTACCCATTACATGAGACATTACATGAGACATTACATGTTTTACAATTGTGACAAACAAGATTAATAGTTTTTGTGAAAATTATTTAAAAAAAGAAAATACTTCACAAGTATAAGGCAAAACACATGACTGAATACACAAAGAATTATTAACGTCACAATGCCATGTTTACCTTTAACAGATTATGTTGAAAGATTTCAATGTGATAATAACTAAGGACAGATAGAAATTGATATTTTACTGGTGTGACTTTTAAAAACAGACTCTTTTGGGGCGCCTGGGTGGCTCAGTGGGTTAAGCCTCTGCCTTTGGCACAGGCCACGATCCCAGGGTCCTGGGATCGAGCCCCACGTTGGGCTCTCTGCTCAGCGGGGAGCTTGCTTCCATCTCTCTCTCTGCCTGCCTCTCTGCCTACCTGTCATCTCTGTCAAATAAATAAATATAAAAAAAAAAAACACAAACCAACAAACAGACTCTCTCTCTTTCTTTTTTAACAAGTGAAGACATGGAAACATATAATTATTGAGACTCTTTCCTGTGTTGAGTACTATGATAACTTAAATGCTATTTTGTTAATGTAATTTTAATAATAACTTTATGAGATGGGTATCACTACCCCCATTTTCTTGATCAGGAAATAGAATGATCTGGAATATTCATTCAAAATCTTTTCATTCAAAATTTTAGAACATTTTGAGTACATCCTAGAAGTTGAGATCAGAATTTCTGTGCCTCTGATGAAATTTTTGGTGTGATATGGCATATATGGATTTGAACTTGCCTATTAACACACAGAAACTAAACAGTGAAGATTCTACTTAATACCTGTTCTGATTTCATCAAGGGTGTTTGGCATGACAACCACCTCACAGCATTCCTGTAAGACTGAAACAATCACAACTGAAATTATTATATAGGTTGTAGTGCATGATACAAATACTAGCTATTAGTGTTATGGTATATTTAATAGAGTTGCTTAGGCAATTTCTAATGAAAACATCATTAATGTAATTAATTTGGTCCTCTTTAAAGATCATGACCACTGAGGTGTTACACTATTCTGAATTTAATTCAGTTTGAAAATTAAAGATAATCTGATAATGATCTGACAAAAAATACCTGGATTTTTTAATAAGCTCTATAGCCAGGTACAGAGCATATGATTTAATGAGTGAATCAGCTCATTCATTTGCTAAGATAGCCGATAATCTTTTGTGTTTGTGGTTTCCAAAATTCACCTCAGTGCATTTACCTCATGTTTTATGGCTCCCCTCTGCCTATCCTCCTCTTCTCTTCTTCCCTTCCCTTCCCTCCCATTCTGGTATCAGTACTAAACAGAGCGATTCTGGTGTTAGCCCAGATGCAGTGAGTTCAGCAGCTGTAGCAAAGTGATGAGCTGCACAGTGCCCTATGGGTAACCCTAACTGTGACCTGGGAGGTTTCCTTCCTAAGAAGGGCAACTTTAGTTCACTATCTAGGCTTATTGAAAATGCTTATGGGATTCAAAATACTAAATTAAAAGGAACTAAGACATGAAGAGTTTGCTATCTGATACAAGGTATTAATGGCAGCTGACCATTTCATACTGCGTTGTGATAAACATGCTGACAACTTACAAATCATGTCACATACCTTATGGTAGAGACAGATAATTATGTGTGCATTGAAAGATATAAATTTATGAAGGTTTAATGATATGGCAATATTAGTCATATTAATCTTTTCAAAAGTGAACTAATTAATGTAACATGATAAAATGTTCTTTGGTTATTATTCTACATTCTTTTGAATTAAATTAATTCAATTGCTATATATTTTGTTTCCTCTTTGTTCGCACTTATTTAATGCAAGAAAAACACAATAGTTTTCATATATTTTTGTTCAAAAAATGTATCTTTCCTCTAGCTCCAAATACTAAATACCAAACACTAAAAAATACATTCAATTATTAAAATATATTTCCTATTATTTTTCTGTTAACCCATTTTATATTTTATTTGCACTCCAAATGCATTTTGTTAAAATTTGTTTTCTTTTCAGGGAGCCTCATTTATGTACTTCAATTTACATATTTATTTAAATAAAATACATGGCATTTATTCATTATTTTGGACCTTAATACACAGATGCATTTTTTGCATTTCTTTCTTAATATGTAATTTTAGAAAATAGCAGTTGGTTGATTTCCTGGAAGTATTTAGAAGTATTTAGAAGAAATTAAATTTTTACCAGTAATTTCTTAACCACTTAGAAATAAAGACTAAGCATAAGGAGTTTTTGAGAATTTTCATTCAATATGATTGATTTTTAAAGTGACACATAGATTGATAGAAATTCTGCACTCTATCTTGAGTAAATAATAGTCAGCTGTGACATGTGGACAGAAATTCCTTTCAAAGAGCCCCTGTGAATGCTGAAAACCACAAGAATGAGGCTTGAGTAGTTTTTGCAGCCATTAGGACTGCAAGATAGAATTGTAACCAAAATAAGAACTGACCTGAACATTTAGAGAAAAGTAAACTAGTGACCTCCTTGAGTGCACTCCATGGTTTCTAGAATCTGAGCTTACTGTTCCCTCTGGTTTTAGTGTTTTTTTAAGAAGTCCTCTAGAAGTAAAGTTCATAGATATTTTTAAAGATTTTATTCATTTATTAGAGAGAGAGAGCAAGTGAGTGAGAGAGCCGAAGCAGGGAGAGCAGCAGAGGGAGGGGGAGAAGCAACTCCCTTCTGAGCAGGGTGCCCAACACAGGGCTCGATCCCAGGGTCCTGGGATCATGACCTGAGCTGAAGGCAGAGACTTAAGCAACTGAGCTACCCAGGCGCCCTAATAAAGCTCCTTTAAACAAACCTTCCTGGAGGAAGTGCTGCCTTCTCGGAATTAGATTCAGATGCAAGAGTACAATAGGAAAAGTGAGGCAAAGACACTGACTGATTTTATATATCTTGAAAGTGGATCAGTCTCAAATCTGGTTAAGATGGCACAGCCACCTGGGAAGTCAGGATATGCCACTAGATTGAATTTACATAGTTCCTGTCCATCCATAGTTCCTTATCCTACACAGTTTACCGAATGTAGCATCATACAAAACATTGAGCCCCTTCCCATTTTCCCAGGCAGCTGGAAAGATACACAACATCATTTCTTATGGCTCAGTTTTGCATCAAATACATATGTTAAATCAGCAGCTGGAATTCAAGTAACTATTCCACAAAGATGGACTTTGTGGTAAAGAGGGAATCTGCAATCTGGGAGACATTTATATTCCCTTTCTTTCTTCATCTATGTGTAGTTGGAGGGAGAGAGAGAATATAAATGGATCTTAGGCTGCTAATAACGACATTTCTGACAACATCATTAATCTGTATTTATTTTTTCCCATTGTGGAAGTGCATATACCAGATATAAACTAATATGCTTTCTTGGTGTAGTAGGTTCTACACTTTTATATAGTTGTGGCATTTCTACATTAGGGGAGTTAAATGCTCATGAACTTTTCCATTGTTGTAACTTGAGAGTTATAATTTGAAAAAAATTATATGTAATATTATTGGACAGAGTCCCCGAATAAGGAGATAAATGCAATCCAGATATCTCTATTCTGACTGCTATTATTCACCTTTACTTTCACTTGTGATATTTTTTCTGGTCTTTAAAATCCACTTTGTTATTCATAATAACATTTCTATTGAGGGATTAACTTCCTTGACCCTGTTTTGTAAATGAAAACTGAATACATGCTAAGCTGGTAAAAGAATCTGCTTCAAATCAATAGCTCTCTGTATCTTCTTTGTTTATCCTACTAAACCATCTCTCTTTGCACTAAGTTTCAATAAAACCAAATGGCAACCGTATGACTGTTAGAAATATTTTGAACATCATTGGAAATAAAATTTCAACCATCTGAGATGAACACAAAAAAGCAGATTCTCATAACATTGCTATTGTTGGATACATTTCAAAGCGTATTGTCAGGCACCTGAATTTGGGGACATTTTTCCAATTCTTGAAGGATTTATTTTTATATTTTTGCCTTTAGTTGTTATTCATTTTTAATGCTATGATGTATATTATAACATGTCTATCAAATTTATCATGGCTCAAATTGCAGGGCCTTAGCAATGCTGTTTTTTGCCAAGTGAATGCAGTGGAGAATTTGAAGCCACACAGACATCTTAAGTTATATATAAGTTATTATAATCCAAAATGTACATTAACCCTTGAACTTCATTTACTTTTTCAAAGGTCAAAGTTGATATCAACTTTTTTTTATTTTTTTATTTTGTTTTAGGGACTTCAAGTCATATTAACATTTTTTTAAATGGTAACTGAATTCCCTCTTAATTCTACAAACATCTTAGATCTTCATTAAACCTCAAAACCTTAATATATAGTTGTTGGGAGATAATTTTTCATGGTTCTTTCACACAGTTCTGCACATCTGAGGGAATAGAGGCACTGACTACCTATTTTGCAGAAAATCCTAAAAGATACTTATACAGTGAAGAGACCTGGAAGGTGGTATCTCTCTCTTAAAAGGCTGGTTTGCAAAAAAAAAAAAAAAAAAAAAAAAAAGGCTTGTTTGCAGTCCTTGAGAAATATTCTTGCATGGTACAAAGGGCAGGTATGCTTACTGCCCAATACAATAAACTAACATCTCTCACAAAATGTAATGGCCAGTATGCTTCTGACTAGTATAAAATATTCATGTTCCCTTAACCCAGGGCTCCTTTGCTGTAATGCACCTCATTGCTTGTGTAGGTTGTCACCTGGCCCTTTTCATTCTGCCCACTGGGAATTGGAGCTTGGGGAAGTAGCATAAGAAACGCTGATTCTAAGACTATTGTTATTTTTGTGAGTAACAATGTCCTTTATCTCTGATTCAGGAACCATGTAACTTCTGCCAGCATCCATGAAACTATTTTAGTAACTTGTTATAAGTCAGACAAAATCATAGACCATTTACAGTTCTTGACAATATTGGTTATAATTTCTATGGGCGTTTTAAATGGTGAAAGACTATGGTCACTGTGTTCATTTTTAAATATGATTCCCATGATGAAATCTGATGACACTTCAGGTGTACAGATCACTGATTTTTCATGAAAGCCAGTAAAAATCTTATAAAAGCTACAGGAATGAGCATAGACTTTCATGCACATGCACATAATGTGTGTTTATTTCTGCTTGGGGGTCATTATCAGGTAAACTGAGCAAAATTATTATAGTTTAAATTCAGTGTTCAGAAGTAATAATAATGTGATGAGCATAGTAGAACATATAGAGTTGTCTATTCATGTTATACAACTGAAAATAATGTAGCATTGTGTGTCAACTACACTTCAATTAAAAAAAGAAAAATACCATATATATATATATGTATATTTTATATATAAATATATGTGGGAGTTTACTCTATATACCAGCTATTGTTCTAAATGCATTATTTTTATTAACTAATTTATGTAACTCGTATTTGGTTATAAGGTACATATTTTCTTTCAAAACAACTGAAGAACCAGTTTTGTATTTTAGGCATAAGATATATGGCAAATGAAGCTTTGTCATAAAAGTTTTTTTAGAAACTAGATTTTATTCATATTTTTGATTAATATTTTTTCTAATATGGCAAAATAAGAGTAATTATTGTATTTGAATTTCCATGGACCAGGTCTCATATACATAAATTTAGGGTTTTTTTTTAATCTTTTAGATTCAGGATTAAAATTTAAATGCATTTGCAAAGTAAGGCCAGCACTTAAAATAGAGACAATATATAAAAACTCACAGAAGGTTTGGGGATTTTAGATTGAGTTGTTGTTGTTGTTATTGTTGTTAACTGGAAATTTTAATTGTATCCTTCACCGGTTAGAATGAAATAGAAATA